CTATAGACGCTGTGCATGTGTACTACTAGCGCTCTGGGGTGAAAATGTCGGCGTTACTTGGGGGATACTGTTACACACCATTATTTGGCGCTCATGTAAAATAATGGCCATAACTCATAAAGTTCTTTTGATCTTTAAATTATGATTGAACAGTTGTATTCGTCATATAAAAATATATAAGAGTGTCTTACTACAGCATTAATCATACTTATTACCACATACCTGTGATGGTTATTATGTTATGATAAGATGGTAGGTAATAATAATTATATTTATTATTTACTTGGATGATAGCATATTATACAAAAAGATAATAATATTTATGTTGTTCTTTCAGTATTCAGTAATTAGTTGATTATTGACTTCTCAGTTCTCAAATTTGTCACTTTGTTGTTTGTTGTGTTGAATCAATCTGTATCCTGACTATAATTGACCTAATATTTTTTTGAAATGAGTAAAAGTAATAAAATATGCTGTGTGGTCAACTGTAATAATATGTATAAAAATACCCAAAATATTAAGTTTTACACTTTTCCTAATCGAAAATATGAAAAGAACCTAAAAGAAAAATGGATACGCGCAGTTAACCGTACAGAGTAAGTACCTTTGGTGTTTGTTAAATTAATATTCTATAGTTAGAGCACATATTTGAATGTTAAGTCATTTGTATCTATATATTATTCTAGAATATTAGTACCTACCTAGATTCATATCAGTTACATTCATATTATATTATTTAACAAATATGTACACCGACAATCCTATTAAAAATATGATTTTTTTTTGTTAAATAACTTAAATTCAATCAATATTATTGACCATTACAATATAATATTGATTTACTATCAACTAAGTGTAGATATCCAATTTCTATGTCCATAATTAATATTATGAAATCTAGCTATGAAAAATAGGTACCTAACTATAGGTATTATAAGGTTATTTTAGAAAAATGTTTGCTTATAAAATAATAGGTTTATTTTATTTTTCAGGGTAAATGGAAGTCCATGGAATCCGAAAGTGCACAGTGTGATTTGTAGTGCACACTTTGTTGGTAATGAGCGGTCAAATGATTCTCGTAGCCCTTCTTATGTGCCTTCAATTTTTCCAGAAGTATACAAGCGAAAAATAGTTGATTCAGAGCAGTCTTGTTCAAGATATCAACGTGTCCTAAAGCGCCATAAAATTAAATCTACTTCTTCTGCTTTGGAAAATACAACTGATTGTAATTTAGATGACATGTTAACTGATAATCCTTGTAAAACTGTATCTACTTGTGATGCTAGTACTCAGGTTGCAATTGAACCTGTAGAATCTGTTCAGTTTTCTTTTGAATGTTCATTTGAAAATCAAAATGTTAGAACTCAAGTAACTTCCCCAAATGTCTGTCGTGGTTTTTATAATATTCTTACATCTACCTCTGATAAATCTTGTGGTCCAGATTCAAGCAGTATAAATTCATGCTTATCTTGTGATAGATTTCATGGATTTAATTCAATAAAAAATGAAAATTCACTCAAAGACTTGACTGGTACTACTTATAAAGTGTTCGACCTATTATGTTCAATGCTATCACAAGTATGCAATAGTTCTACAAGTAAAAATGATAGACTATTAATATTTCTGATAAAAATAAAACATAACTTAACATTTTCAGCAATTGGTGTTTTATTTAATATACACCGTACTTCTGTAAGTAGAATTTTTTTCCAGTGTTTAGAGATATTAAGCATATTAATAATGGATCTATAGTGTTATATATAAATAAATCACATTCATTTAACTCAGAAACAAACATTAAAATCTGGCATTGTGTATAATATTGATGAGATGACCTTAATACTACTTTTCCATTTTCATACTTCAAATATTTTAAGTTTAGATTTCCTGTGTCTTCATCCACTATAGGTTTGTTTTTGCAACTTATAGGGCATTTAATTTCCAAGATTTTATTTATTTCGCCATTTTGAGATAAAACCAATGAATCTGGTGATGCACATAACCAAGGGTATTTGGAATGAATTATAAGTCCGGCTTTTATTGTTTTTTTGTTGAACATTTCACAGTATGTTTCAATAGCTATCATTTCAGTTTGTGTACTATATGCTGTATTTAACGCTGCTTTACCAATTAATTTCACATCATTAGAAATAATTTCAACAATTTTTTGTTGATTTTCAGCTGACATATTTTTACAAATTTTTATTTTGTGGCATTTAGTTGCAGAAATCCTTACTTTTCTGTGTTCTGTCCATTTGTTACTATTAGATTGTTCCAATGTGCTATTGAAAATAGATGTAACTTCTTCTTTTTTCACTACAATCATATTAAAATAAAACTTATCCTCATTTTTATTCAAAGGAAATTTAATGAGTTGAGTAACATAGCTGTGATCACAACTTGATTGATTCTCGAGAACTGCATTCATTAACCTATCATTTTTCATAAATATTTCTTCCATTTCAATACTATCTATTATTTCATTTAAACACATTTTACTTTCTCTATCATCTTCTGACATTAGTTCCTCTTGTATCATCTTATTTACACCACAATTAATTGACAATATATCATAGGTATTAACCAAGTCATAATGGCTAATACTTAGTATTTCATTTTTAAGTTTTTTTATGGGTGGAAAGAGCTGTTCAATTGTTCTACCTTTTTTATATTTTTCTTCCCCCACTTTTGATGGTTTCCCCCAAACCTGAGGAAAATCAGTTTTTGAAAAGCTATCTTCATTGTTAATATAATGTATTAATGCAGCAACATGCTTGCACTTTTCAGAAGCTCCAGCTGGACAATTACAAAAACATCTCTTTATGGTTCTGGTATCATCTAACTGTATGAATAAGGTTTATGGCACATGTGTTAGTAATAATTATTGAAATAAATTAAATTCTGTATAAATTAATGACCTACTTCTAGTTTAACTTGCCATGGGTGTAATGTGACGGACGTTTGTCTTATAATACTTGCTGTGATCACAGAAAAATTATTTGGTGGTCTCACTTCAGTTACAAAAGTTACATGACCACTATCGGCTAAATTTATACCTTTACTATTTGTAAATACAATATTACTATAAATACTTTGAAAACCGCACTTAATTATTATGTCCTTTATGTTAGACATTATAATAAAATTTTTAACGAATTCAAATCAAAAGCTATTTGGATAATTAAAAGTTGACATTACCTATTTTGAAATTACTAATTAGGCTTCTATGGTTTTTAATTGGTTGACTGTAATATCAATTTTAAAAATACAATCTGTCAATCTGATAAGAATTTATTTTTTAGTACTTGGTATACTGGTCTCAGAACCATGGGTAAATATTAATAAGTTTTAATAACTATTTAGCCATGCCGTTATGATACACATTGCATAGTATTCATGTTTATTCTAATCCCCCCAGTAATGCGTGCATTCACCACTATGGGGCGCTCTGTTCAATAACTTGCACGTAGTCTATAGTGCCTAATTTTGTCCAAAAATTATTCTAGAATATGAAAATATTTATGTATCAAAAATGTATTGTATGCGAATATTTTCATGCATAAAAATACTTTGAAAATTGTATAAAGTATTTATTATGTACAAATGAAAATGTCATTAATGTAGAGAATTATAAATTTATGATTTTGTTAATTGTACTGAGCAAAATTTAAATTATTTTATTTGATGTTTATAAAATATGCTACTTGTAAATTGAAATCAATATTGTAACTATCTGCAAAATGTGGAACTTAAATTGAATTTTACTCAAATATGCAAAAAAAAATAAAAAAAATATTAGCTACAGAAATAGATTTATGCATTAAGAAACATTGATTTTAACCAGAATTATTTTAAGTGTAGAAAATTATACATGTATCAATTATGTAAAAACTGGGCCACTATGACAGTAAATTGTTTGAAATAAATTATGTTTAACAATTATTGATTATACATAATATACTTAACCCACCATGACGTGTCCAAAAGATATTATACGTATAATATATTATTATATTATTCAATGAAAAAAAATAATTATGTGACTGTATGACCACACTCCGCGATATAGAAAACTGCTGTATCAATGTATCATAGATTTACATAGATAAGATAAAACATCGGGCTTATCAGCCATGGATAAAGTGTTTAAATTTTTTTGAGGTTTTAAGGGTTCTATATTATCACGAACTAAGATATATTATCTTAGTTCATGCTTATTATTGATAATTATTATTATAACTTAACCTCAAAATCTGACTGTACTAGTACACACTGGTGTACACTGGCCGACACCGTGAATTTCAACGGTGTGGTCAATTATGTGATTATGGAATCAGTGTTCACGTGTAGTGTGTACTAGTACAGTCAGATGGAAAAACGCTATTACGGTTATCTATAGTTTATCAACGTTGAAATACTTTCGCTGATTATAAATATTTGGTTTTGATAATGCGATAGTTGTATTCATGAAGATTAGAGCTGATAAGGAGAACAAACTCCTATAGCCGCTCGTTTATAAAGCGGCCTGTCAAATAAGTCGCACGGTTATTCTGCCAGGAGCTCTCTAATCTTCATGGTTGTATTATACGTA